ATCTATTAAAGTGAGCGGTAGCAAAGGAAAAAAGCTTATACTGAGTTGTATGTGAGACTGGACGCTGAGGAAGGAGAAAGGGACTTGTGGTGATTGGCTGCAGACAGAGATTGAGTATGTCCAGCGTGATTAAGAATAGAGATGGAAATGCGCTAACATATGACGAGTGTTGAAAAGGTGAAAGGAGGACTTTGATGAGCTGATTAATGTAGAAAATATGAGAGGGTATGAAAATAAACAACCAAACAGGAGGAAAAGAAGACCACAGAAAAGATTGATGGATGTCATGGGCCAAACACAGGTTTGACAGAGAAGCATGCTCGGGATAGGGTGACATGAAGGCAAATGATCCACTGTGGCAATCCTTAAAAAGAGCAGCCAGAAGACGAGTAGGAAAATAAATAGAAGAAAAACAAATTCCCTACCTAACACATTAGGTGGGGAATCCTGCCTCAGAAAATTCTGAGTATCAGACACTTGGTTTCCTGTATTTTGGGAAGTTTTTTTACTTTCAGTTTAGCGCGGGAGACACAACTCAGGCACCATTGAACAGTTTAACATCTGAGTGAGATCTAAACTTTGACAAGACTGAGACAACATCAACGGGAGCTGAAAAAGGTCCTGGCTGTTCTTTTGCGTCATACCAACTTGTACCACAGGATGGTGCCCTAACTCAACCAAGGCAAGTCACTGAAAGCATTCCTATGCTGTTTTCCAGACACTCCCGAGTTAGCCTGTTCCAGCTTTAAAGTCAGGAAAGTGAGAAAAAACGGGATTCGTTTTCTACTGTTTATATTGAAGGCCGCCATCTTGGATTGCTAACTTGTGGTTGGTGGGGCTGCTCTGACTCTCTGAGTAGGAAATCCAAGTTGAGTTGGCATTCCAAAATTTAAATTCCGACTTGATCTGGATCACACCATTATTTACAGTGGAAGCATGGAAAAAGGGAAAAACCTCTTGGGAAAAAAGGAGGATAGGGCTTCTAAGAAACAGCAAAAGCGAAAGGAACAGCAATACGCATGGGAAAAGTGCAATGTTGCCCTCAGTGATAAAAGTCTGAATTAACATTTTCTGAAAAAACTGAAAGCAAGTTAGCAAGTTTCTAGCACACTAGCAAAACGTTAAAAAAAAGAGCAAAACAGCCAAAAAACTTCTCTAAACAAGACTGATGTGTACTGAAATCAGTGCTCGGGACTGTCATTTCCTCTTTACAACAACACCTTGTGTTTTAACACAGAGTTGTTTATGACACATTCATACATTTTTCTAAGATACTATGGTTGTAGTGTTTTTGCCAGAGGCTAAGTCTGGGTGAGTGACTCCACTGAAGCCTCCCTGCTTCCTGGCACTAAATCATTCATGTTCCTGCTTGGATGGGAAAACACTCTTCTTTGATCACCAAAAGAAATTTCAGCTCAGTGTGTATGTTTGGTGATGTTACACGATTTAAAGACTGTGAGAATTAAAAGCCTGGTTCTGAAGGGAAATAATTTCATCTTACTGTCATGACCTTTACCTTAAGGAAATTTACAACTATTCCAAGTTTAGCAGATCAAAGTCAAAGACCCCCAGGGTGTTCGGCCGGGAGAGGCCAGGGAGACCTCGAGGCTCTGAAACCCGTCTATCAGCGTTGACAGACGGGCGGAGTGGGAGTGACAGACGACTGCTGTGTTAAATGCCCCAACTGCCACAGGGTGCAATAAAGTACGCGAACTCAAACCGGAAACAAGTTTGTTTGTTCATGAAACTAAAGGTCCATCAAAAATCTAAAAACTATTCAACTGAAAATTTTGCTGATTACTTTATCACATCATGTAGGATTACAAACGCAAGTCAATTAACTCCCCAAGCCTTCAAGGATTTGTTTTTTTTTTTACACAGTAAAATTTTCTTCCTAAAAAAACAAAACAAATGTGTGTTTATGTGTGAGGATTTCCTCTGAGATGAAATGTGTATAATATGATAATACAGTAGCACAGTCCAAGGACTACAACTCCGTTCAGCGAGGAGATTGTTATGCTTGGACAAATTAGTATTGCGGAGTATTGTGATATAAATTTTAGTGAGCAAAAATATAGATATAATAAAATGTGTTCTTTACGATGCAAATTAACTTCAAAACAAAAGTTCCCTGTAAAGTTCCCGTAGCATAAGACGAATAAAACAATAAAATAACCAAGAAATATAATTATCTGTTGCTGATTTGATAACCGTGTTTTTTTTAAATAACCTCCAAAATGTGTAAATAATGCACATTTGATATTTTTTAAATAAAACTCTTTTCCATTGTTTTGTACATTTGTGGGTACAGAGTCTGTCAGTGCCCCACAGCTGTGTGACTGCATCAAGCGTAATTCATTTTCCAAGAAATAGAAAACTGCAAAGGCAAGGTTGTCTGTTACTAATAATATTATTATTTTTTATTATGATTATATAAATATGGCTCTTATGGTGATAGCGTTATCGTGATTATCTCCAATAGCGAGAATTTGACGGAGGCAGATTTATTTTGGCAATTATGACCGGATGTGCGCTGTTTCCGCTCGGAACTTGACAGCCTGTGGAGAGGCGGCGGATTGCGAACAAGCTGGCTGAAGGACTTGAGGTCTTCTGCGGACTCAGTCGGAGCAGGCGGGACTGAAATAGGTTAGAAAAAAGTTCCCTCGGAGTACCTCTGCGGTCGGCACGAAGCACGGAGAGACGAAGCGGGAGTTTCTTTTTTCTCGAGGTGAGTGATTTTATCCTGGCGGGGCGCGCTGGTCAGCGCGAGGCTATTGGCTTCTGCCGGAATTACTTTGTTGCTATGGCACGCTGTTGCAGAGCGCGCGGTGGTTCGTACTCGAGTGAACCTGCAGTGCTTTTGTCCACGCATGAAGCTTCTCGAAAATACCCCAAAAATGTCTGCTAGTGGGAAAATAAACTAAAGAAACGTTGTTGATATTCTACTGAGAGGGTAATTAAAGGTTCCACGTGATAGCATCACTCCGTGTTGATGGGCTAATTTCCTCTCGGTGTTTTTGGTTATTTGTCCCCGTCCGGGAGCGACATAAATAGGAGGAGGGGGCTTTCTTTGGCAGGCATGCCCTCCTCTCCCCTCGCTCCTGGGAATCCTTGGTGATGTCGATTCGGAGACCCTTTGTCATGAATTCACATGGATTAAACTCCTTTGTGTTGCGTTACTGCAGTGTGTGTGTGTGTGTGTGTGTGTGTGTGTGTGTGTGTGTGTGGAAGGGACCCTACCCCCCACCTATACCGCCCCTCACCATCGCCTGCCCCCTCAGGCATGCTCTGAGTCCCCCCCCTACAATTTATAGACTGCTTTCCTTTAGAGGGGGCTTTTCCAGTGCTGTGTCAGGGAGAAGCAGCGTTTATTTCCCATTGATGCTCATCCACATATGCAGCAAATAACCCGCATAGATGGGATTGCAATGCAGCAGCAGCAGCAGGAGCACATGTTGGAGTGGATGCTGCTCATCCACACATCTGCTTTGGGTGAAGCATAGGGACAAAGGCAGTGCAGGTCTCAGGGTGTTTCTGCTGCTACAGTGGCTTGTCTGCAGATGTATGCAGGTAAACGCTCTGGTCGTGATCTCCTTGCTGATGCCTAGCTTAATATTCTTCCATCTGCACCCACCCAGCTGAGAGACACTGATTTAACATGTTAAGGTGTGCAGCAGTGCAAGTCATAAACATGTTCGTTAAGAATCTTTAAAAATGTTTTTCCAGAGACCTATTTCTGTCACCGGATTGTTGTCACTGGTTGAGGATTTCGAACCACCTGGCTCCTCTTTTAAAACTCCACAAAAGAAACACAGTAAGTTTATGGTTATCAAGGTCCATATCGACAGGGACAGGCAGTATTTGCACAACATCCCTTTTTTTTTTTTTTTTTTTTGTAAGAGTCTGCTGAGCAACAAGTTGGCCAGTGCGCTCCTGTAAAGCTGCACAGTGCTGTGACACCCTGCTGTGCAGTGCTGGGGATTTATTTCCAACAAGATTTACTCTCGAGTCCTCTGGCGGAACCACAGCAGTTGAAAGGAGAGACGAGGAGCTCCATATTTCAGCTGCATTCTTGCTGAGAAGTTGCTTTTAATAATTAACAGTAGTGACTAGTGGAGCTGGGGGCCCCTTTCGAGGCTAGTGATGTCATGCTTGATCTCCAGCCAGTTTCTCTCGGTTTATGCTCCCATTAGAGCAGATTTAATCGTTTGGTTTTGTGGTCATTTGTGGTCAGTGTGGGAAATGGTTTTCCTTGGGTATATTTGGGAGCCTTTCAGATAGGTGCCTCAGCTTCAGATGCTAGTAGTTATCTGTTACAACCTTGCATACTACTACGTACGCGATCAGGGACCGAAGAGCTTAAACTCACTGCTCTCTGTGTTAGCTTCCTGTGATGAAGTCAGGACAGTGACTGCCATGCAAACTATGGTGATAATGGTGTTATCACGTGGAAGCCCTAACAGGCACGTGACTACATCTTTGGCAGCTTTGCTCATGGTGTCAACTGTAGATTGTGTCTGAGTGGTGCATTCTTGCCCTCGCATGTTCCTGAAGAGACGGTCATTCATAAAGGCTGATGCATGTGTAATTTGACATTACAGTTGGAGGTTGTGCTGGGACAAGCCTGGACCGGGCTGCTTTCAGAGACACACACCCAGAAAGCTGTGGCTTGATGCAACTGTAACACTTCATAGTGTTGAAACAGATGAAACAGACGCCATTAAAGCTCATTATAGACATCTTTCATGGGTTCCCACTCTGGCCCAGACGGCTCTTACCACTGTAAATCTATTCTGGGTGTAGCTGTCTATTTCTTTACGTAAGG